GCCGAATTTATAAACTGAACTTGATCGTGGGTAGATAGAGTTTGGTACTATCCCTGCTTTCAGGCACGCACTAGGGTGGTGGACATTAATATTCGGAACCCGGGCCTCCCTGGTGGCGCAGCGGTTGAGCGCTGGGTTGCGAAGCTGCCCGCAGCCTCTGCAACACCAGTTCTATCCCCCGCCACCGGCGAGGGTCCCACGTAGCACGCAGACCTCTCCTGCCGCCCGCTGCTCCCCTCAGCAGTGTACTTCGTCAGTCTGCCTGTTCTGTTCCCTGCTCTGGCTCTGGTGAATCCTCTCACCCTCCCGCGCCTCTGACTGCACCCAGTGCTAGTATAAATAAATATTTTTTTATTTTTTATTTTTTTAAACAAATTTTATTTTTATATTCCCCATACAATTGCAACCCCCTTATTTTGACCCCAATCCCTCCTCTCCCCGCCCCCCACCCCCTATAGAGTGTCTCTGGTTCATAGTTGTTTGTTGATTTTGATTTTCACTTTCTTATAGTTATTCATTTTCCTGGTCCCTTATTTAAGTTTTCTGGATTCCTGCTATGAGTGAGACCATCCGGTATTTTTCTTTTTCTTTCTGGCTTATTTCGCTGAGCAATATCCCTTCCAGCGCCATCCATGTTGCTGCAAATGGCATGTGTTTATCTTTTTTGAATGCTGAGTAACATTCCATGGTGTATATGTACCACATCTTCTTGATCCAGTCATCTATTTTTGGGCATTTGGGTTGTTTCCAAAGCTTAGCTATTGTAAACAGTGCTGCTATAGACATAGGGGTGCAGGTGCTCTTTGGAATTGATGTTTCTGTGTCCTTTGGGTAAATACCTAGGAGTGGAATTGCTGGATCATATGGAAGCTCTATGTTTAGTAGGTCCAGAAATCTCCACACAGCTCTCCATAGTGGCTGGACCAGTTTGCACTCCCACCAACAGTGCAGGAGAGTTCCTTTTTCTCCACATCCTCGCCAACATTTGTTGTTGCTAGTTTTTTTAATATGTGCCATTCTCACTGATGCTTGTATAAATAAATAAATAAATCTTTAAAAAAAAAATTCGGAACCCTATTTAAAGGAGGTTGAGAAGCTAGAAAGAGTGTCCATATGGGCAAATTACAGGGTCCGGCATGAATTCTAGCATGTCACTAAAATGTCCCCTCTCAGGGGACATTGCAATTTATTAGTGATTACGGGGAATTGAAGTTATTTCAACACAACTTTTTGAGACATGCATGTTTCCCTGAAGTTTTATCTTGAAATGGCACAAGAAATTAAATCAAAATATCATAAAATGTTTCGGAGTGCAAAGGGTTAGAATTGGTTAGCCTTGGATTCGAGAAAGTACACATGGGTCTCCCCATGAACAGTCCTCCAGTATGTCCACTCTTCTGTTTCCAAATAAACCCTATTTGTTGGAATAGCTGATGGCTTTTGTTTGAGGACAGCAGGGTCTTGGATAAGGGGGGAGGTCTTGGATAAGGGGGGATAAGCTCAGGGGACTGTGGGGTGCTGTCTGGGCTGGAGTGGATGTCATTTCAAATGCTTTTCAACACCCTGAGGCACAGCTTTTATTTTAAAATTCTATTTCTTTACATTTTAATAGGTAACACACACAGTTAAAAACTAAAAAGGGGCCTCCCCGGTGGCGCAGCAGTTGAGCGCTGGGCTGCGAAGCTGCCCACAGCCTCTGCAGCTCCGGTTCGATCCCCGGCCGCCAGGCGAGGGTCCCACATGGTGTGCAGACCTCTCCTGTTGTGCCCGCTGCTCCCCTCAGCAGTGTACTTAGACACTCTGCCTGTTCTCTTCTCCACTCTGGCTCTGGTGAATTCTCTCACCCTCCCGCGCTTCTGACTGTACCCAGTGCTTGTATAAATAAATAAATAAATAAACAAACAAATAAATCTTAAATAAATAAATAAAAACTAAAAAGGACACAAAGATTTATAATGAAAAGTACACTGAAAACTCTGAAACACTGCTGAGATAAATGAAAAAAGATAAAGGGCAAGGGACCTCCCTGGTGGCACAGGCAGTTGAGCTTAGCGCTGTGAAACTGTCCACAGCCTCTGCAGCACAAGTTCGATCCCCAGCCGGCCGGAGAAAAACCCACAGGGCACGGCAGACCTCTCCTGTCTTGCCCGCTGCTCCCCTTAGCAGTGTATTTCGTCAGTCTGCCTGTTCTGCTCCCCACTCTGTCTCTGGTGAATCTTCTCACCCTCCAGCATCTGACCTGTACCCCGGCTCTTGTATAAATAAAATAAATCTTAAAAAAAAAAGATAAAGGACGAGAGGAATCATGTTCACGGGTCACACTTCTCAATATTGTTAGTAATTCTCCCCAAATGTATTTACAGATTCAATGCAATTCTGATCAAAATCTCAGAAAGGATTTTTTGGGTAGAAATTGACAGGCTGTTTTTAAAATTCGCATGGAACGCAGAGTCTAGAATACCCCAAAAAACTCCAAAAAGGACAAAATTGGAAGATTAACACTACGTGACTTCGAGATATATTATAAAGCCCCAGAAATGCAAGCATTGTGGTAGCGATGAAGACAGACAGATCCATGGCACAAAATAAAGACTCCAGAATCAACCCACACACATTAGGACAATTGATTTTGGACAAAGGTAGATGGAAATTAATAAAAGAAATCTCACTAAAGTGAGGTCAGAGGCTAGAAGACAGTTCTCAGGCACGCACCCTACAGAACCCAACCAGATGAGACAGGCCTTGATCTCCAACAGGAAGTGACGAGGTGGCAGGAGGGAGGAGGGTCCTCCCTGCCCAGTAGCTCAGCCGATGGAGGTGCTCTAACCCAGCAAATAAAATCCATGACACTGCAAAGTTCTCGTTTCCATGGATTCTTCATTTATACACGCTCCTCTAAGCTCTATATAAGAACGTGCCTCCCTTTTGTCCTGGGAAGTGTACCCATGCTTACATGTTCCGAATTGCTGTTGTTTCTGAATAAACCCATTTTCTGGCTGCTTATTTGTTTGAGGACAACAGGTACAAAGAAAATTCACTGGAGAAAAGACAGTCTTTTCAACTGATGACTGGAACAATTGGACTTCCGAATGCAAAATTTAAAAAATGAACTCTGATTCAGACCACCTTGCATTAAATATAAAAATTAGCTCAAAGGAGAGAATAGATCTAAATGGTAAAGACTTGGTAGTTGACCCCCCAAAGGATGATCCACTAAAGAAAAAAACTGATGAAGTGGACTTCATTAATATTCATTAATATTTACAACTTCCTACCAAAAGACTCCCTTGAGAGGATAAAAAGACATGCTATACTCAGGAAGAAAATATTTACAAATCACGCAAATGGTAAAGGACTTGTCTCCAGAATATATGAAGAACTCTATAAACACAAAACCAAGAACACAAACAACCTAACTGGACATTTCTAAAAATAGAAAAAAATTTCTTTCCGCATGCATGCACTGGTTCTCAACAGCTCTTATCAAAACTTCCATTGAACTCTAGAGCAGAGAGAGGAATTGTTCTCCACCTTTCTCTTGGTACTGGTCCTGAGGCAGAGAAGGGTTTAGTTTCTATTGTCTCAGTTCAAATCTGATTTAGCTTTACCCTGTGGAAGTGTGTGTGTGTGTGTGTGTAGGAGGGGGGAGTTATTTCAGAAACAGTACGGCCGCCTCAATTTTAAGCAGTGATAATATAACGCAGACAACACTCTTAGCTTGTCTTTGTTCACCCAGACAACCTTCCATTCTACTAATGCTTTCTGATCATCTACTAGGCACCAGGCTTTGTCCTCACAATGGAGCCAGCAGCCCACAGGGGGAGGGCCAGCTGTTATGACACTTTCTTTTTTTTTTTTTTAAAGATTTATTTTATTTACACAAGAGTTGGGGTACAGGCCAGAGGCGCATGGGTGAGAGGATTCACCAGAGACAGAGTGGGGAGCAGAACAGGCAGACTGACTGAAATACACTGCTGAGGGGAGCAGCGGGCGAGACAGGAGAGGTCTGCTGCGCCATGTGGGTAGCTCCCTGGTCGGCTGGGAATTGAACCTGCGCTGCAGAGGCTGCTGACAGCTTCACAGTGCTGCACTCAACCCGCTGCACCACCAGGGAGGCCCTGTTATGACACTTTCAAGAAAATGTCTGACAGAGAAGACTACAGAGGTGTGGAGGAAGGGCAGCTCAAGGTGAGGAAGATGGTAATTCAGGAGGAGTTGATGCAGAAGAGGGGAAGGGGAACAACATTGTCAAAGGTGCAGGCACTTGCTGTGTTCTAGGAATTATAAGTAATTACTAAATTATAAGTAGTTACTAAATTATAATTTAGTAACCAGATTGTAGGGGCCAGGAAGGAAGTGGTGAGAGACCAGGCTGGAGAAGTGTAAGCAAGGGTGGAATTTGAGGAGGACTATAAACCAACTTGCTTTGGAGAGTCATAGGGAATCATTTCAAGGTCTCAAACGGGAGTGAAAGGAACTGACTTATATCTCAGAAAGCTCCCTGTGGCCCGGGGTAGAGTGTATGTTTAGGGGTGCAGGCTGGAGGGGGCCACCACCTGTGGTGGAGCTCACAGGGCTGCCTCCATCCACAGTGAAACCACCTGCAGAGGCCAGGGAGAGCCTTAGCCCCACTGAGTTCCAAGTTCAGCTTGGGCCTGGTGGCAGATCCTGATGAATCTGCAATTTTCTGGAAAAGTCAGCTCTGTCCCACGGAGGGCCAGACTTACACTGTGCAGAAAGAGGCCCCTGAGGGACTACAGGAAAGGCGAGAGGTCTCCCTGGGTGTCCCAGGAGAGAAGCGTTTGGGTGGAAGCTGGAGCGCTGGAGGAACCCTCTCACCCTGCTCTGAGAAGGAGCGCCAAGCCCCGCCAGACAAGAGAGTCAGAAATGCCGAGGCAAATGGCACTTGGGCCTTTTTTTTCCCAAAAAACTAAACAAAGCGACTGTGTTCAGTGGCCCCTCAGGAAGGCCAGTCATTTCCTGAGGAGATATCAGGCCGGCCCAGGCCTCATTGTTCCCGATTTCCAGCAATGGCCGCCATTACCTGACCAGCACCACGGCCAGTTTCTCTGTGGCGCCAGAGAAGTCACCGGAGGGGTTTCTCTGCTTTTTACAGGACAGGGTTTTCACCTGTGGTCTCCTGTGGTCTCCTGTCCCAGAGGAATGTCCCGGCGGCAGAACTGACTGCCGCAGCCTTCTCTCTCAGGATGCCGCAGGCCCGGGCCCAAGAGGGCAAAATGTGTCTTGGAGTCCTGCTGACTCTTCTGCTCTGTGAGTCTTTTTCTTTTCCCACATCATTTAAACGTCATGAGAACTGAAGCCTAATGAACTCAACATATTTCTCCTGTCTTTTCCAGGTTCAAGCCTTGAGGGTCAGGAAAACAGTAAGTTGTTCAAGTTTCTCTCTGGCTTTACCGTGTCTTTCCGTGAGCCTGAAGATGCATGTCAGATTGCTTGGGTTTGATGTTTATAACAATTGAGAAAAATATTCCAATGGAGAGCTCAGGGTTTTTTTTTTTCCCTTGTGGCATTTTCAGAAAGTTTTAGAGCAAAACACTTGTTCTAAGTCAGGTTCTAATCGGTGTGTTCTAGAAGGAACGTGCGTTTTCTGGAGGTAGGATTGGGGAGGTGATTTTTTAAAAAAGTGAGTGATTCTATCATTTGTTTTTTGTTATTCTACCATAAATTTCTTATTTCCATATTCTACCCTGTCCCTGATTATTTTTATTCGCAAGTGAGATATAACCCTTTTGTCAGATTCGTGAAATACATGAGTGCTTCAGAGTTTATGATGCTATAACTTTTTTTCTCCCAAATGATGTAAATTAGATAGTGGATTTTATTTCCCATCTACCCACCAGGCTGTGATTTTATTTGCCATGTGTTCAGCTCATCCCAGAAAGGCAGAGCAGGGGGCTTTGTCTTACCTTAGAAGTCTGGCTTATTATGCTTTTTAGACCGATTTTGAATCTTTGAGATAAATAGATTTTGTTGTGCTTCCTCTGGGACCATGTGAAGTGGGGGAGGGCTCGCTGGGCCTCTGGGCTGAATGGAGGGAGAACCCACAGAATGCAATCCCCTTGACAGAGGCCACCTTACTTGGCAAAGAACAGGGGTGCTGGGTCATCCAGGTCTTTGGAGACAGGGGTGTGGATGAGGCTGGTTTGTTGAGCTGTGGCTGGAGGGGAGCGTGGCTGCCAGCAATCCATTGTTCTTGCACGAGCATTGATCCCCATGGCAACCGTGAGGCAGGATATCCATTATCTTCTGATCATGCTCATTGACCAGGGATGTCTCTGTGCCCCAGAGAAATGACTTGCCCTTGTGAGAGCCAGCGAGCATCGCACCAGAACCCCCACTAACCCAAACCTGACTGTCGGGAGCCGTAGGCCTGACTCACATCTTTAAAGTCATTTTTACTTTGCTTCTTTGAGTCTTTCCCCAGTTTGTAAAATGGAGATGATAAGAATCTCCGTGGCAGAGAGTCAGAGTGAGGTGTGTGCCCTGAGGGCCGTGCCTAAGACAGAATGTTTCCTTTCCAGTAACTTTATTATCCTGTAGAGTCCGACTGTTTCTATCCACTCCTGCCCACACACCCCAGGTCCTGTCAAGACCACGCCCTGGCTCTGCAGCAACCCATTCCCCAAGACCTGCATTCCTCACATCTTCTCCACCGCAGATGGAAGTAACTTGCTCCCTTCCCAGGGTTTCCAGAGAAAGTTCTTAGTAATGTTGGAAAGGCTGTAGAACTGCAGGATTTAGAGCAGGGGGAGGTCTCCACTCCTTCTGCAGGCCTCCACCTTGTTGCACACTTAAGGAAACTGAGGCCCAGAGATGCTAAGTCACTTTCGCGTGGCTATTAGCAGACAGGGGGCTGGGACCAGGTGTCCCATTCCTTAGGCCCCGCAAGATCATGCTGACCCCCCCAGCTTGCTCAGGTGACCCCTCCTGCTGCTTCCCTCCTTTCATCTCAGGCCCCTGCCCACCCCCGGCCCTCCTGCTTCAGGAGATGACCTCACTCCATCTTCACCTAGAAAACAGTGCTGTCTGGAGGGAACTCCCTCAACTTCCCGCCCTGCCCCAGCTTCAGGCTTATCTGCCTCTGCACCCAGCCTCCAGGCTCCCGCCCAGCTTCGAGGCGCTGTCCACCCGAGGCTGATCAGAGCAGCCCGGCCCCGCGGCCCCGGCTCAGCGCCCATCCCTGCCATCACCCCCAGGGTCTCACCCTATCATTTATTCAGCCCTCACCCCACTTTTAGTATCTCTGCCCCTCTTCTGGGTCTTTCTTTCAATCTCCCAGTGTGACTGGTAACTCTTTGCTGTGGTGGTTGTTTTAGGAAAATGGAAAATCACAAGCTACCCTGCATTTACTATTTTGAGGCCTTTTCTATCTACTCCCTTCCTCAGTCAAACATTGCTGAAGGCTGGCTTATTTTTTTTTAAAGATTTATTTATTTATGCATGCAAGAACTGGGGTACAGGCCAGAAATGTGGGGGGTGAGAGGACTCACCAGAGACGATTGGGGAACAGAACAGGCAAATGGAATGAAACACACTGCTGAGGGGAGCAGCGGGTGAGTCAGGAGAGGTCTGCTGCACCATGTGGGTAGCTCCCTGGCCAGGGAGTGAACTCGTGCTGCAGTGGCTGCAGACAGCTTCATAGGTTGCGTCTTAACCCCTTGCACCACCAGGGAGACCCTGAAGGCTGGTTTATAGTCGCTGTCTCTGCCTCCCAGCGCCCCCTCACTTAGCAGTCGGGCCTTGGCCCCGCAGCTTCTGCCACAGCATCCCCTCTCCTGAGGGCTCCCGAGGAACTCTCCCGGCCCCTGGCTCTCGGGCCCCTGTGCTGCCTTGCATGAAACTTCCTTCCTTGACCTTCTGCACACTTTTGTCTAGTGTTTCTCCTACCCGTGTGACAAACCCACTCCTATCCCCCAGGGGAGACTTTTCCTGAAGTCTGCTTGCCTCCCCGCTCTCTGCAGTCTCCACAGCCATGTCCTTCCTGGAGCTCAACCCGCCTCTGCACCAGCACCTCCCCTGGTCCAGTCAGTTCTGGCCTCTCCCCGAACATCACAGGGGGTCAGCGGGTGATGTCTGCTCCTATTTGTCCACCAGACCCCTCAACAGCTGCATCCCCGTGACTTTGCTTCCTCCTTATCTTTTTCTAGCATTTTCCAGAAAACTTCCCTTCTACTCTCTGCCTCAACCACCATATCCAATCACACAATCTCTCTGTGTGTGAAAATACACATGAAATGTATTATTAATGACATGTGTTGCTTCCCTGATACTATGCAACCATCACCACGGTCTAGTTCCAGAACACTTTTATCATCCCCCAAATCAAGTCCTTTTGCATCCACTAGAAAGTTCTCAAGTCCACCCTTGCCTATTCCCGCTGTGCCTGCCTTTGCTCAGGCCTCAGCTTCCACCTGCGTCACCATCCAGGCTGTTTATAGGCCTCCAGTCTCTTCCTCCAAAGGCCCAGCGTGACCTCCCTAAAGCGCCAATATCATCCCGTCACCTCTTGAAGGCTGTCAGAACAGGGGCCAGCTTATCAGCACAGAGGGCAAGGTCCTCTGTTCTGACACCTCCTGCCCTAGACTCTGGTTCCTGTGGCTGCCCGTGCCCAGAATGCATTGATTTCTCATGTCCCTGTGCCCTGGGACGTGCTGTTCCCTTGCCCGGAGCACCCCACCGCCCATTCTTGGTCTGGTCCAAGGCCAGGCCCAGGTTGCTTCCTTCAGACTTTCCTTGACCTCCCCTGGTCAGCCCTCTTGCTGCTGACATCACTGCGCTCCAGTCATCTGGGCCGCACCGGCCTGCCCCGTCTGGGCAGCAAGGATGATTTCTTATGTACCCTGTAAGCCCAGCACCTGGCACAGGTGCTCCACAGGGGGCTCATTGAGAAGGACCCAAAATGAACTTGGAGATGGTTGAGATCCACAGGAGAAGATGGGCCAACACGTTCCATGCTGAGCCCGGGAGTTCTTCGGGGACCTTGCTTCATGGCTCCCTGTAATTTTCCTAACAGTGGTGGCTACCCCCTGGCCCCCCTCTTTCTTCCTGAGTCATTTCCAGGTTGAAGGCCAAGTGGCTGATTGGGTCACGATGCCTCATCTTCCCGGGAGCATCTGCACCTGCTGCCTGTGACTTGAGGTAGAGGAAAGCAGCCCCCTTCATTTTAGGATTTTAGGGGTGGGCACTACAGTCCCTGGGTGCCTTTTATAACTTGATCTTACAGGTGAATCCCTCACACTCCCGCAGTATTTGTTGGTCACACAGGCCAAGTCTGAGCTGGAAAATGACCACATGCGGACAAGGCTCCCGGGGCGGGGGGGGGGGGCGGGGGCCGTCTTGAAGGTTGGCTCCTGCAGGCTGGCGGCCATGATGGTGGAGTCCAGGCCGCTGTTTTTGTTGCATCACATCAGTGAGGTTTTGTGTTAAGTCTAAGAGCTGGGATTCCTACTACAGTTTATCAAAAGTGTTCTCTTCTTCCATCCTGCCCACCTTTCTTTTTCCCGGTTTATTGCAGCTGGCCAGGGGTGTGATGTTCTGTCAGTGAATCAGTTGTCTTATTTAAGCAGATGTGTCTGAGTTACTTAGAAAACAAGATGGTGGAAGTGCTCCCAGGTGGCGGAAGTGCTCCCAGCAAGTGGGCATCACCCCCCCTAAAGAATTACCACCTGGAGCTTTAGCCAAGTTTGCTTTAAATTCGTTCAAAAGTGGCAGAGCTCTGAGAAAAGGAACATGAACTTGGCCCAGTCTATAGGAGACATAGGCAGGGATGGGGCTGAGGCTGGGAGCCCTGGAGTAGGGAAGAATGTGACAAGCAGACTGAGCTCCTGGAGGGCAGGAACTGTGCCGGGCTCAGTCTCCTCTGAACCCCCAGAACCAGGTGCAGCGCAGGCACAGAGAAGCGAGGGGATACCAACCATGCCCCCGCCCTTTGTGGCACATATACTGCCCCCCACCCCACCCCTGCTCAGCTACCTTGGTTCAGTCATTGTTCAAGATTAAAATAAAGTTTCCATTTCAGAGGAGGAAGTGTGGTGGTCTCCAGGGCTACAGGACTCCCAAGGTCAGCGCACTAATGGCTGTCAGGTCAAGGGCGTGGACCCTGGTGTGTCCAAGCTGCTTTATTTCTGTCCCCAGCACCGTGTCCCACCTGGGACTTCACCAATCAGGGTGTGTGTCTCATTCAGCACAATGACAGTCAAGTGGCCTCAGCCTGTGGTAATTAACCCTAAGAGTCTGGAGGTGTTCCTATACATTAAAATGAATATAAAATTTTAAATGATTTTATTTGGGAAAATTTTAGCAGCAACATGGAGCAGAGATAGAAGTTTAGAAACCTCAAGAGTCAAGAGTTGGTTTTATTTCT